TAGGTATAACCTCGTGAAGGTTAAATGCAAGACGGTCTTGAATCAATTCGGTGGCTATGTTTTGCGCTTGAATTGATACCTGTTATCATCTTAAAAACATTTGAAACAGTGCAACGTGAAGGTTATAATGCGAAACGGTCTTGAATCAAGAGGCTATGTTTTGCGCTTGAATTGATACCTGGTTATCATCTGTCGAGAAGAAGATGATATACCTTTTGCTACCTGGACATGCGGCCACGTGGAAGCCGCTGCTCTCATTCACAGCTTTCATACAGAATATGCTACGGATCTCGTTTTGATCCACTAGATTTAGCATACGCTGTTTTATCTATGGGATTAAAATTAAATTATATATTAAAAATCCATCCCATTCAACTGGTTCAGTGCAAGATTTTCGTTTCGAGTGCGAGAGTAATCGGATTCATATTTGGGGTAACAACATCAAAATGTTTTAAGTAAATTTTAGTTTAAAGATATATTTGTTTATTCTTACAGAAATTTTATCAACTTGAGATATCTTCGACTGGCTAATATAAATAATATAATTAGGTTAAAATCAATGGATTCGAGACTTTGAAAATCCTTGGCAGCATCTCCGTCAACGACTGAAAAACCTCTGAAGAAATACCCTGAAATTAATATTAATAGAATTCAATCTTTGCTTATAGTTAATTCATTTATCTATTATTTCACCTGTGGTAACATAAACTGCAGATTCTTCAGATCTGACCCACCCCACGAAGCCATTTCTATCATAAATCCCTTAATGCATTTGAAAACCAATTCGGCTCTCTTCTCACACCAGGAGATAGTCATTTCCTAAATAAACTTAATCAAATATTTGTATGGAAATCACTATTTGTTTTACCTCTGTCATTTCATAGTTAAGTAAAAGCGGAATGGTTAAAGAGGTAACATCATTAGAACAAGCGACTTTTAAAATATTTCGTAAACCTAGCACGACTGGATGTCTGCTGTTTATATCGTTGCACTTTACAGAATCGTCCACAATTATGTGAAAAATCACATGCGACTGAGACAAATTCGAGTGTTTTGTCATATAAAAATCCCCAGGTTGCAGATGTTTGGTGCTCTTGCGTTGATCGGCAGTCCCTTTCGACCGTTTGAATTCATTCTGTAACGAGATTATTTTGTCTAATTGGTCTTCAATATTATTGAAATGGAACTCAGTCGAACTTTGGCAAATATCCTTAAATTCTGAAAAACTGCCATTTAATACCATCTCTTTAGGTAGATTGCAATATGTTAAGGACCTTTTATGGCCCTAGATCCTATAATGTTATCAGCCATCAGAACAAGACCATGTAGATCATTTGAATATAAATTTAATGCTGTTTGGAGTGTCTGCGGCATTGGTTCAGAACTAAAAATAATAATATAATATTAATTGATAAATATTGATTGAAATATTAACCATTCACTATCAATTATTGCACATAAATCCATGACATTAGAAGACAATATTCTTATATTGTGCATTTGCTTTAGCTGAGACCCTAAATGTATGGTAAAACTTTCTTCCAGTATTGGATTGATACTATTATCTGTATAAGGCATCATGGCTGGTATTGGTATCGGAGGTGGGGAAAGTGGAGAGCTAAAACACTAAACATATTAGATGAACAACAGCTTCTAACTTATTTGCATTACTTGGGTGTAGGCAGTGAGCTGTTTGCTTGATTTTCTTCAAGCATTTGCATCAACCATTCCCTGTACTCTCTCCTCTGAGCCTCTTTAATAGTATCTAACTCACTGGTTAGTTGTATTTGTAAAAACGATTGGTCTTCAAATTGTTGTGAAACTAACTGGTTTATTTTCATCTCCGCCATATCCTCTTCGAGATGTTCCAATGCTTTATTCATTTCCAATGTTTGCTTCTCCGACATATCATTAATTTGCCTGTTCTTTTCTTCGCACCTTTTCCTTACAATTTTAGCATACATATGTTCCAATTGTAGCATTGTTTCTAGAGCTCTTGAATGCACCATTTTATGATAAGCTGTGGCAAAAAGCTCTTCATCTGAGGCACATCTCTGCTCACCATATTCAGCCATTTCTTCCTTTATTAACTTTTCCCATTCTTTGGTGACATCCTCAAAATCAGTACTTTCCTTTCCATTCAACAATAACTTAGTAATATGCTCATCCTCTAATATAATAGTGTGTTTCTCAATAAATTGTGAAAGAGATTTAATTAAATCTAGAAATAGTCTATTAAACAAGTGTCAATATTATACAGGTTTTATCTTACCCTTTGCCATATATTTTGGCAGTTTTTCATTCAAAATTAGCACATGAGCTAATTCTTCAATTGATCCTTCGTAGGGAATGTTTATGTATGTAGTTATTGTACCATTTAAGACCTGATACTCAAATAGCTTTAAATTTTCAGTTTCTAACATTTTGATGTAAAAGAGAGGTTAGGACAGTAACAGTAGGCAGCCACAAATGCTAATCAAATTGGATTTCATAGGAACAAAAAGAATCAACAATAATGTGCAATAATGATTCATAAACTTTCAATGTTAAAGATTATAAAATATATACAATTTCGTTTGTTTTATTATATATCATAATTCACACAAAACATATTAAGCTTTTAATGGTAAAACTATAGCATTAAATTGTTATTGTTACAAGAATCAATAATTTATGAAGTACATTTTGATTCTAAATGGTAAATTTTAAAATGTTAACCTTGAAAAGGAATATCCACTATCCAATTAATGGAAGTAACACGATATAAAATGATTGTATTTTTATTATTAATTATTTTTATGAATAATAACATAAGTAAAAATCATTGTTTTTGTATCACATACACATAAAGTAAATTCACAAATTTAATTTTCTATATCGATTTTTTAATAAACTCTTCAAATATTGAAGTTTTACAGGATATAATTAAAAAGTAATGTATATGTTTCTAAATTTGTATATTTTCAAAAGGGCAATTATTGATGTGTTTAACGTAAACTATATAGGTGTGATTGTAATGGGATATGTATTATAAAATATAACCGATATAAACGCATTGTAAATCTGTTGTTTTTTTTTAAACTGCAAATAAGTAAAAGTGTTTACATAGCTCGGAATCAAGGTCCAGATCAAGCACCGTTAGATATTACATATTGCTAGGTAGTAGACGGCATTCAAATGTTACATGCATGTGCAGTTATGTTTACAGTTAATTTGCGCACCAATCTAGCGAATTGCATTTAACTGTACTTTCCATCGAGATATATAGTAACTGAGAAACAGAGAATGCTGTTATTGTTGGCCTTCTGCAGAGAACAGAACTACGGCCTATCGACAAGCATAATTATGTTGGAAAAGTTAAGTGCCATACACAACTACGACTTAAGAACAATCGAGTGTTTCAAAATTTTCGGCCCACCCAAAGATTTCCAACATGATGAACCGAGCAGCGATTGCGAAATTGTGATTTGTGAGTTTTTGGAAAAGCCTTACTTGGATTTATTTCATTTGTTTAAATTCGTGGTTTGCAGATAATATACCAATTGATGAGTCTGAGGATATCTTAGTGGCCACTCTACTAGCTTTCAGCAATTTGTACTACCTGAAGATAGTGATCAGCAAAGATGGTAGGCACAGGGGCATTGCTTTCGCGAAATTCTCGAACGCGTCCGAAGCAAGAAAGGCGATCAAAAAGTTGGAAACTACTATGATTTACACACACAACAATTTGCATGCCAAACCCTGTGATACGTGCAACACGAACTTGTATATCGGTATTTATTTTTGTTAATCATCTTGAACTTCGTGATTGATATTTAGATTTTAGGTAATATAAATATAAATAGGAACTCGTTACATAAAATGGAACAGATTATACTGAAACTAGTTCACGGATTGGAATCTTTCGTAGTATATTCGCTGAATAAGTTCAATAGGTATATAATTTCTTTAATATTTTATACAGTGCAAGATCTGCTGTTATCTATTCATGACATTTGCAAATGTGATATTTTTATACAATCTCCGGAAATACTCATCAGCACCGTACCACCAGTTGCAAGGCTAGCAGAATCCATGGTTCGTATCTTAACTATTAGATCACCGATCACCAAATAATAGATTGAATAATAATTATAATTATGTAATTTTTAGCCAATCTGCAAATACATTTACAAAAGGCAAGCGGACTGCAAATACGAGTGGCCCGAAGAAATTTATATTTCGCCTAAAAAGTACAACGATTTGAGGATATTTTGAAAAGAAAGCTGGACTGTTTGTTATATTTATCTTAAATTTGAATCAATGAAAGCCACAACCAAATTAATAATAGTAATAATAATAAATATTGAGCTACAGAGTAATTAATTCATATGTAGAAATGATACATAATTTTGTATAAAATTGAAAAATCGTTTTATATAATTAAAAAGGTTTTTCTTGATGATTATTAATGGTTTAGCCTTTGTTTTCGACGATCATTGTTGCTAAGCCCTTGCCGGGAACGATGGTAGTTTTGTACTGCTCCGGAATTGGATACTCAGACTAAATATATAAACAAAATAAAAATTAGTCAGTTGTCTCTTAAAAAACTGGATTAACTTACGTAGTCTCCACTTGCACTTGGGACTAGAACGTTCATTTCCGATGATTTTGAGCTGACAATTTCGACGTTCAAAGAGTCGCTGCTCAAGTAGATCTGACATCCGTCAGTCTTATCTACTGAAATTGTTGGCACCTTGCCAAGAACTTGCATCTGTACAGATTGGCAGTTAATGAATTCAACACCGGAGACGAGGCTGTCGAAGACGACGGAAGTCTTCTTACAGGAATCCAAAGTGATCGAGTTGATTTTTCCCTTCACTGTTACCGTAGAGTCGGTACATTTGTACAAGTAAACGACATTGTTCATCTCGGCTCCATCAACCAAAAGATTTTGATTGCCTTTCTGGTACTCGATAAGCCACTTCTTACCGTCCCTTACGAAACTTGGTGGCTTATCGATTGGTGCAGCTTTGGCTCCAACGGAAGAGACAACCGGATTAGGTGCCTTGAATGGAGCCGGTCCTTGCCTGATTGTTGGATTTTTATGCGTCTGCATATCAGCAGTAACTTTCTTTAAGGCTAAAATAGAATTATTATAAAAAAATGTTTACTATGTTGAATCCTATTAAATACTTCTGGTTATGTTTTCGCCTTGATTAATTTCAGCGAAAAGGGCGGAACGATCGTTGTTAGCATCTGAGGCAGAGCCAAGATCACAGAGAACTGGTGGAGGTGGTGGGCATCCAGGTGGTGGCGGCGGTACAGAGCCGACCGGTGCTGAACCCTTACCGGTCCATACGAAACCAGTAGTATGGTTTTGCTTGACGAAAGCCTGCAATTCGGTTAAGGTTTGCACCCAGGCCTTGGCCCAGTCGACGTGCTTCTTATCCTTCTCCTTCCAGTCCTTCAATACACGATTGGTGTAAAACTGACCGGCATCGTTCATCTCTTTCACATAAGGAGCGGGTGCTGGGCTCTGAAATGATTAAGTGAAACTAGGTATGCACTTACTTAGGTACAAGGTTCTATTTTACCACAGCGACCCAGCCGAGAGCTGGGATGCTTTCGCTAATTGCTGAGAGATGATTGAAGTATTGCGAGCCGCGGTTCTTCTCCCTGAATTCTTGGATTGTCGTAATGCATTGTCCCGTAGGTTGCAACAGATTATTAATATCTGCTTGGGCCGGCTGTTTTGATTGGCTGGCGATTGTCAAATATTGAAATTGGGTATCGAAGGCCTTCTTGACCATCTGACTGTGGGTGGCCACGTCACCTCCAATTTGGCTGGATACAGCCAAATATTGGGCGAACGCGCCCTGGATGATATCTTGATATCCTTGAACGCTCATTTCGACAAAAATTGGACTACTTCCCTCGCGGACTTTCCTAGAAAACACACCTATTATATTGGATACCTCACACAATATATGTTAACATTTACAACAATTCTTCAACCGGCAAGCAGATGTTTTCTAAACGAACTGTAACTTCTTCGAGTCTAGTTACTAATGCTTCTAAATCTTGCGTATGGTGCGAATCGACTGCAAGATTAAAATGCTATTATAGATATTTCTCACTAACTATAGACAACATTAAATGTTCACGACATGTACTGTAATAATATACAACAAAGTGGAGAAGCGACAGATGAGTTATAGAACACACATAAATATATGTATATAAAAATATTTTTGGTTTGAATGTTTGTGCAACGAGACTATACCATGCGCTAAAAATAAATTATCAACCCACATAGAGCGAGAAATCTCTGTTTATGATAAAAATAGAGATTAGGCAGACGTTTCATATATACAGAATGTTTCAGACTATATTGTATAATTTTATTAATTCGGTCAAAAATGTTTAAATAACATCAAATCCGGAAACTTAATGTATTATATGTTGAACGGCAAACACAAATACTACGGTTATCGAAACCGCACAGATTAGGTTTCGATGTAATGCGCAGCAATGCAGTTTATTTTAACACATGCATGATTCACGCTGTCGATTGATCATCAAACGTTGATGGTTGTACTATCGATGACTAAATAGAATGTACAACTAAAAACAAAAACCAATTATCTAACCATATGTTCAGCACTAAATAGTAAACGAAAATCCGTAAGGTGAATGATGGCATTTGAAACGTTTTTTTTTTTTCTTCTGTACCGCAAGCTGATTTTTGGGGTCACAGACTGACATTTAAAAAATGAAGGAAAAAAGAAATTGAATTAAAGTAATAATGAAAAGAACATATGTCAAGCGAAAAATAACATTAAAGGCAAGAGTACTGCGACCCATCAACCCGCAGCGGATTGTAATAGAAATGTGTGCGTGAGCAAAAACTGGAAAATGTTATGCTAGCGGAACTTTATTTTTAGGATTAACATTTCAATTGCACAGCTTTATTTACATAAGTTTAAACCGTGACGAATATTTCCGTATTAACGTGAATTGAACTAGTAACTTAGCCGAGAAAGAGTGATTTTGTGTGGTCGTGGCTTAAGCTATAGAAGAGAGAACACATAGAGACAGATAGATAGAAACAGTAACATGCTCGTTTATGGATATCCCATATTTGGGACAAAATAAGAACCTCACCGGCACCGACACCGGCCACGACTGGTCCCAGCGGATCAAAATGCACCTTGTGTTCACTGGCATTCTGTGCTGCGATCATGAGTTCTGAGAAGAAGCGGTGTCTGCGTAGGGCCAGCTCGTCCTTGCCGATCGGAGTAGCTGGAGGTTCCTGTATGCCACCGACCTCCACCTGCTCCTCGTCCTCATCCTTTGAGAACCATTTTGGCACCGGAGGTCCAGCACCTAGGTTGCCAGCGAGCTCGATCGGCGACACAACACCCTCACAGAACACATCATCGTCATCGATGATATCATTCTCCAGTTCAATGTCGATCTTATCAGAATTCGAGTTGCTAGGTACGCCCGATGCCATCACCGGCTTTTCGCAAACCAGCTCCTTCACGGTGCTTGGAGTCGGGGTGGTACTCACGTTGCTGATACCACCCAAGACATCGTTATCGCTCTGGGTTTCCGCGTCTCTGGTCTTCGCCTTCTTCCGACCGCAACAGTTAACGAACATTTTCCTCTCCGTCACCGGCAGATGATACGCAGCATCCCCGGCCAGCTACGCCCCTATCTAAACTAACATCCCGCGCAACGCCATCTACTTTTCACCCCCAGCTGCAGCAACCCCCAAAAACAACAACATAGGCATCGAATTTGATACAATAGGAATAACGAATAATTAAGCGACCTTAGTCCGTGCATTCTCTTATCCGGAAATAAATAGAATTCTTACAAAATCAAAGTAACGGCAACTAATTCGATTAGTGCCTGCAAATCCGATTTAAAAATGAAAATAAATCTGCTTTTATCAGCTCACTCTATCTATATATCATATTTTTTGCTCCCAAAGCCGGCTTCCTTTTGCTCTAATTATATTTACATTGAACTTACCGAAAACTGGCGTACTGCAAATGGAAGAACTTAAACAACTGCCGGGTTCCGGGAAACTGAGTTAATAATAATACTTTTTCCGTGTATGGGCGTTTGCCAATCCACAGTAGGACTGTCACTTGGATTAGTCATGTACACTCGGTACACACAACCACAAAGGATGCCGCTTTGTTACTAACTTCAATGTGCTTTCCCAATCCATTCCCCTTGATCTTACATGCACATATGCGCACTATAACAGGCGCCATTACAAAATTCAAATCTAATGTACATTTTAATTTAGTCTTTTCATCGTTCAGATTCAACATTTACAAAGTTACTAATTAGACTATTAGAGTGACTAAAATAGTATAAGCATTATAAATTTAACATGAGTATTACATGTTAAATTCTATGCAATTATGTTATATAATCGTACATATGCTTTCATGACATAACACATCATTGAATTTGGCCATAATGAAAAGGAAATATCAAACAATTGTTTAACGTATTCAAATAAATATTTATTGAAAACATAAACATAAATTTATAAAATAATAATAGTAATATTTGTATATATGCGTGGGGCTTAAACGTATTATAATTAAATATAACAAAAGAGTCAAATGTCTTTTGGTGTTCTTATTTTTGCTTTAAAAAAAATATTAAAAGCTTGTTTCCATACTTTACTTAATCTACTGTACATAATCCGATTTGTTAAACTTAACAATTATTTGATTGTTTCTATACGTGTAAAAAAATAGCAGAGATATACTTTTTTTAGTTGATTTGCTCATAGTATATTTGTTAATTAATAGAATTTCAAATTTGGTGCTTTGTTTAATATTTTAAATATGTCGATCTCTCAACCTTTAAAATACTTCACAGCCCAATACAAATGTGTATATATATATACATGTCTATCTCTGTATATATGTCATATAAATCATTTGTTTAGTTTACATGTCCTCCTCCATCCGGAATTTTGTGCAGTAGTGATCATCCTTATATTCTAGTACAAAGTTTACAAATCCTTCAATGCTTTCTACGTTGTTCCTAAGCTATCCCAAAGTGTTTGAAGTATTTAGAACAGATGGACTACAGTTATCTATATTATGTGCAATTAAATAATTTGGAATTGTAAAGTTTATGAAAGTTCGCCAATTGGGGCGTTCTGAAGCCACAAGTCGTGTAGAAATTTGTACAAGTTGTCACTCACTGCTACCTGAATAAAGAATACAGAATAGAAGTTAAATTAATATTTTAAATATATAACGTATAAGAACATACTTTAAATGGCGTCGGATTCAAATTGCGTTTGATGTCAGGTCTTAAAGTTTTAAGCGAAGCTTGCACTTTATTTCTTATCTCAGCTAAGCTGGGAAGAGGTCCTACAATGTTACCATCCTTCCAGCAAATCCTCAACAATTTCTTTACTTTCGATGGCGTCACATAGGCGCGTTTCGATTCCTCGAACGGATGTCTGCAAAGTACTTTATGATTTACCTGCGGAGCTTCCTCTGAAGATTTTTGTAGCAGATCAATCAAAGCATCGCCGCTTTCACTGTACAGACGATACGCGTCTTTGCGGCCTGGCATGGTTACTTTCCCAACGTCCTGACTCAGTTTGATTCTGGGTTGTCCATTTAGTTCTACCATTTTATATACGCATCCCAGTGCAGGCTGCCTCTGGCAGGTGACTAAATGTGTCCCGATCCCGAAGCAATTGATCTTGTGTCCTTGGTCATTTAAACTAAGGATCGTCTCTTCATTGATGTCGTTTGAAGCCATGATCATAAGCTCAGCAAACCATGGGATATCGTATTGTTTACTGATCTCGTTGAAGAAGTGTCTGGCCACATTAGACAGATAGGCTAAGTCTCCACTGTCAATTCTGATACCAATTGCCTGGTATCCCAAATCATTCAATGCCAAAGCAACAGCACAAAAATTCAATAAACCACTCCTACAAAGAAAATTACAAAATCGTGAGATAACTTGTCAATCATAAACGTTTCATTCTGCACCATTTAATTTGTTAATTTAGATAAAGCTGCAAGTTAGTAATGAAGTGGAAAATAGAGTATATAATTCCGCTTCGGAACTAGACCATGCATATTTTCTTATTTATCCGGAGTTCATGAAACTTTTTTATTTTGCAAGTTCATATGACAAATCGGTGCTTTCAATCCTTAATAGTAACATTTAAGATATAAACAAAAGCGTGTGATTTGAAGTACGTTATAGGCATTGAAAGCAACAACTGTTTTTAAGCAATTTTCTTTAAGCAAACAGGAGGATCAGTAGGTACAGTACCTACTGATCCACCGTCCAAAGAAGGTGTTTTGGTTTGCTACAAGAAAATATGAAGCTTAAACTGGACATGAATCTCCACCTTACTAAGAGCAGCTAAGTGGAAATCCATGTCACGCAAAATTAACAAACAAATATGTACATAAAATAAATTAAAACAAAAATAAAATGTGAAATATGTAAAAGCACCCACGTGACATCACTAGCACTGACCACCACTCTAATCGACCATTTCAATTCATTTCGGGGAAAACTCTAATTATTGAATAATAATAAAAAAAAATAATTACATCAGATTAAGAAAATTATAGTAGCAATAAAAATATTAAGTGCTCAGTGGTAGACTTACGTACCCCGCATGTTCAACACAGTTGAAATACAATGCTGGAAAAGCTGTCCCGAATCTGTCTTTCAAACAACGTCCCCACAGTTTGAGATTGATTCACAGAAATCACAATGACATAGGTATATAAATATGTTTAAAGTGCAAAATTAGAATTGATTCGGTTTAAACCTGCGCATCATAAATGAAAAGTAGTTGTATATATATTATTTATACCGAATAAATTCTTATTTTAGACGGTGATTTCTGCACATTCGGAGATCATTTCGCTGTGCAACAATCACCTTTCTACAACGATAATATCAGCTCGAACTGTTCAATCTCGGTGGTAAGTATATGCCCATGATAACGAGTATTATTAGTTCATTGTAAAATTATCGCATAATGATTTGGGAATCTGGGGGATTCCCTGTGAAATGTCCATGACGTATACCTCCATGTGTTGCGTAATCGCCGTGTATAACGAACGAATGTCTAAATAGGCATGATGTTATTAAATGAGATGATGTGATGACGTTGGTCTCGTGTGCAGAAGGTGTTTGTTGCAATGTGTGCTCTCCACTGAAGTAAGTTCATCGTTTGCGAGACAGGATACAGCTAACTTAATTTTTGTTGCAAAAATAAATAAATAATTTTGTTAAATCTTGATAATCGTTTTCAATTCCTTCGATTCTGTACGGTGTTGCATGCATGCAACTAAAGGGCATGCTTGTTACCTGTACTCGTTATGCGATAGAGTGTTGGGCAGAGTGACAGGCCACATTGTGATGGCGTGGGTCATGCGACATGGATACCTCTTAACATCGTACGTATCGACAAGGGCCATAAAGCCATCCGGGAAGGCTATGGCGAAGGAGATGAGGGCAGCCAGCTCGCCATCGCTCGCCTCCGTGCTGACCACATTGAACAGGGAAATCAGCTTCAGCCTCCAATTGGTTGCCAGTTCAGAGAGATTCCTGTGTTCACCACCAGCTTTAGGAACCAGGGTGCACGTCTGTAACTCCGTCAGGTCGGTGAACGAGGTGATGTAGGCGTGGGCGTGAGTGCCCTTCACCGGAATGTTAAAAAGTTTTCCAGCCAACACGTTGCTCGTACCATCGAATCCACCTATACGAAACAAAAAAAGGGGAAAAGAAAAAAAAAGTGATTCATTGCAATCGGCCAACCCCACTGAGATATCGCCGGGTGTTTAATTTGACCCAGTCATGCTTTTAATGAGGGACCGTTTATGTGTTTTGTTGCAAAACTTTCGGCACTGGTTCAGCTTGGCACGGGGCTATTAAATCAATATTAGTACCACCTAGAGCTGCCACCAAAGGCCATCGGTGTTTGTAACGAAATGTGCTAATCACCTATATACGAATACTTCGACGCCGATAAACCGCCGTCAGGTCCTTGGGCTCTCCTCAATCCAAACTCCAGTAGTTTTAAATCCCCTGCTGCCATCCTGTACCTTGCTGCATTCGTGGCCATCAAACTAAAATCTCTCAAAATCAGATCACAGCTCGTCTCACAGTTTCCAAACTACTCATACCTAGCATAGTTAACTAATGTCAATAACGTTGTCTCCAAAAGCTGCACTATGATCAAAGGACCTTCAATGCGTATCAACGGAACCCTGGAATAAATTATTTCGTGAAGGGACCAGAGAGCATATTCACATTTAAAATTACCTAGGAAATACAACGGAACCCTCCTCCACCGCGTACAACGTCACGTCGTTCGTGTTTAGCTTGCTGAGATAATCGAAGAACTCATCGTCAATGGTATCCGGCAGAGTCTGCCGCAAATATGCGATATCTAAAAGATGGTTTTTCGTTTAGTTTTCCAATAATAATAATTTATTTGAATCAGCCATTTACCACTTTCTGAATAATGGAAACGTTTCAGAAACTTCAAACACTCCTCCAATCCGGCGAAGATCGTGAATTCCCCCTGGAATGGATTCTTCCGGAAGAACAGATCGAAGACGGATATATCCTTCGTCTTACCGGACTTCCAGTAGGCGTATGCCATCGTGATCTGATACAAGTCTTGAAGGCACCGGCAAAGAAAAAAAAAATCTATTTGTACTACAGTATAATCATTTTTAATTAATTCTTCGTTTGGCAATTATGATAATGAGGCCACGAGGCAAATATAGATATAATTCTTAATGAAACAATAACGAAGTCTGGGGAAATTAAATTACAACCAAAAAAGAATGATAATTAAAAAATATCCACATAAACATTTACATGTTGATTACATTATCAGAGCATAGATTACTTAATCATACATAAATTGAAATACGCATCATCTTATTAATTGCTAGGATAGGATTTCAATTCAAGTTTTTCTATTTAAATCATCGACATGACTATAAATTCATCTATAATTGATTTGAATAAATTTAAGGTGTGTTTCTTAGTAAATAAACATATTAAAACGTAATGATGTCAGATAAATAAATCAAATAAAAGAACTTTATATTAAGATATAAATATAGATAGAAAGAATAAAAATATTTATGTTTACACCATATGAATTGTTACTGCGTGGTTATAAATTGCAATAGTAAATCAAATCACAGAAAATATATTGCCACTTGACCCCAGATATAAATAATATTGTGAAAAAGAGTGCAAAATTACTTGATCATTTTAATTCACTATTTCAAATATTATTATTATTTTTTTAATCTGAAATTTCTAAAGTAATTATAAGGTATTTAATTTAAAATATCTAATTGTTATCATTAAAAAAAAAATGAAGGTATTTTCAAAATCACCTTTGAACATTTCATATTCGCATTAATGACTCTACATAACGTTAATGAACTTAAATTCCAAGAAAATTCTAACTTTCATTCCATTCCATTAAAGGAGACGTTCCAAAGTACACAATACGACTTATATACAATTAATGAATCTGTGACGAATTGTAGTTAACACATTGTTTCAATTCGGCAGCGACACAGAAAACGCAAAGGAATTCACATAAGTTTTATTTTATTGGGCCTGATTGATAACTGTTTGTTTTATTGATCTTTTATCTGAATATCGCAGTCGTTTTTTTATAAAATAATCAAACGCAACGCTCGTATTAGAAACACGCTACGACTTTTGCACTCTTTTTCAGTTGTTGCAACTAACGTTGCATAACGAGCGATTACATTTCCATTTATATAATTTTTGTTAACATTATCTGGAAAAATTATACTGTCTGCATTTGATTACATTATAAAATTTTCCTAACTTTTGCGTTAGTGGCCTTTAAAATAATCACACATAGATGATAGGAATATATTATTTTTTTTTATAACTATGGAAATTTAAAAAATTAAGCAGTATACTTAAGACAATTAGTCCGTATATAAATATTAGATATGTGACGTTAGTACGTCGTTATATTTTTTTATATGTATATTCTATTTGTAGCGACCTATTTGAAAAAAATCTTATCAGTAAATTTAAAGCGTAAGGTCACGTCGCCTGGGTCTTACTAGAGAGAGCATAGAATTTCGTAATCAGCGTAATAGAGTATATTGTAATTAACGAATTTAAAAAACATAGCCAAGAAGTTTGTAAGGATGCAGCAGAGCCAAGTATAATTTATGATTATTATTATCTTTTGGAGTAGTAAAGACTTATAGCGTGCATAAACATGTCTATAAATAAACATTTCTGTTGATTTGATTGTATATTGTTGTTGTTAAATGCTTCAAAATTAGACTGAGTAGTTTCGAAACTGCTGAATTATTTTTATGAAATTCTTGAATCGTATTGTTAGAGGTCCACTGATAAATTTTTTGGAACATAGTAAGCAATATCATCATTTCGGGAATTCCCCTAACTTTGTGAATGATGGCCTTGTTCACTTGCTCTCAGCTAAACGCATTCGTCACATGTGAAAACAAACTGATTTCCCGACGTTTATATTATGCTTAATAGATTTTTTTTCAACACGAAATAGCTGCATCATCGTGAAAATCTTCACATGGAATGCAAGATTATGAGAAAGAGAACAAATAAATAAAACCCTTGCAAACGAATTTAGCGCTTACGCAATGGGTTGTTGAATAACAAATATAGTCTAGACGGGCGCATTATTTTCAGTGCAGACTAAATTAAGAAAGCAACCGAAATTGGGCGGTATTATATGTAGGTGAGAAGACAGGTAAATGCCGTCGGTGAACAGGTAGTTCCGAAGTTCGAAAGATTTGTTTCGCGCCAAATGGGTAAGCATTGCAAATTCGCTTAGAATTAGGGTATTCCCCTGGTTCGTTCGCATACCGTGCGATCTTTTGGCGGGAAAGGGGGGAAAGATAAATGTTTATTGTAAAGTTTATTTTTTTACCAGTGAGTAGGGGCTGGACAATCCCGTTGTGGCCTAAGCTCTTCTCCGTGAGATGGTGGATCCCGATGATTGTATTTTCAGTCATGTTGATTTATTCGACCCGTTCAGTTGGACGTGTATTTGTTATTGTGATAGGTTACGTGTTATAGCCTATGACCGACTAACATTTCCGCGTGCAGGTTGATGCCTACATGCAATACTGACGATCGGCAAAACTCCGTTTTATCATCATGCCGAATATCGATCATGCACGAGGTCATACCATAAAATGGTTTTCTGCTGCTGTCATTGGTCCTTTCAAAATCATGTCAAACGATACCAGCGTTACGACGGTGTGAACACGAACCCGACGACCTCCAAGTTGATGTTCAACAATTGTTTATTAATAAAACACATCCCACAGGATCAACCAATTTAAATCATACCTAATTACAATATAGCAAACAAACACTAATTTAAAATTATAACAGTAAATTACAACAATCCTAAAATATATCAATCCTAAAATATATATAACAATTCATGCATATAACAACTCAAATTATATGTTCAAAGTTTTGAGTAATTCAGTTGTGAAAATCTTCAATTTGCTTAGTTGAAATATGATGATGCGAGGTTCAACATTATACTTCCCACTGAGCACCTGGAGTGTGTGACATAAGACTCTTACCATAAGATTCTAAATAAAGATTAAAAACTTATACAACTGGTACAAATGTAGCCAAAGGCTTATAAACACTTTCAGTGTCCTCGTTTGCTGCTTTCACTTTTGCAGGCCTATTGAAACAAGAACGCGTCATGCCATTAACAAATAATACTAACGCTCATCAAAAGCTTCCACATTATCGAATTACAAAATATTGATTTCTTCACTACATCTCCTATAATTTATTATAAATGAATCAATGATCAATTTCACACATTAATTATTCATATTAATAATAGTACGAATTATGTAGCATAATTATTGACAATGCATTTAAAAAAAATATCTTGATTGATTTTTTTTTATTATATTTTAAACAAGTTCAGTGAATATTCAAATTAATTTAATTTTTGAACAATACTTTCAAGTGCGTGAAATTTGAATATCATTTTTAACAATTGTTGAAATTATCAATATTTGAGATAACATTAATTCAATTAAAAAATATTTCGAAAGTTGGATAAGAAATTTATGTAAATAATTTTTTTTAATTGCGTCTTTCAGTAAATATGAAAAAAATCGAAAAAATAAAATTTTGAGAAATATTATTTTTATACTATTCGTTCAATGCATAATGATAATATTACGAATAATATAGCATTCTTTATTATATTATATTTTATTGTAAAAAATATTTAAAGCACAGATAATTTGAAAATATTTTTTAACTAAAACATCATAAGCAAAGCCAAGTTAAATTTGCTTGATATTAGTTAGTGTCATCAATGGAAATATTACTTTACCATAAATCTCCTTTTTCTAGGTGACCTAAATACATTTTCAGATAAAAAGAAACAAGGAATAATTTGTTGTTGATCTCACATTTATTGTTACACATATCCACGAAGGTTACATTACAGTTGGAAACGAAAATAAGCTGTAAAATTAAAACACACCAATTTTGTCACATTTCAAAGATTGCTTTTGCATTTGTATTACTGAATCAGCATCGCGAATAGCAGAAAGAAATTTGGTTAGCTGCACAAATAATACAACATAGTCAACTGTGTCACAATTCTAATACACCAAAGTTACTTATCTAAACACCTATTATAATACTGATTTAGAATGTAGTTCTACGTTGTTAGGAACTTAGGGATAAACATGCATGGGATTGCTACTGAGACGAACAATTATTTCCTGTTTGCTTGAAACTAACTAATAAAGCAAAATTCTAATAATTTTTTGTTGTTGTTGTAACATCAAAACATTTAATTTTCTAATCTACATTTTGGACACCAATCGACGTGCATACATTCATAAATATATATAGTTTTTTTTATATATTTGTAAACATCTATTAAAATAAAGGATTCGTGAGGGGGACGGTTGTGGGGATATCATGTATCTGACTTGTTCCCTTTGAGGAAAGCTACCAGCAGATTTTGGAAAAACAACGATATTCACGTACATAAATTCATTATAGCAACATTTAGTGTTTAAGCGAGTATTGATATTTTTTTTTTCTTTGGTGGATATACAGAATCGACAGTGTCCTATGAAAGAATCACGAAACTTCGCGCGTTTTCGTTTCCTCACTCGTATTGCCGCGCCAAAATGCAAGTAAGCCTTCGTTCATAGTTAAATAAGAATAATTGAAATTAGTATAATCATTATCGCTAGAATAAAAGTATCACAAAAATAGTTTGTTATATGACGAAACAATGAAAATAAATAAATAAATAAATAAAAGGTTAGAACTAGAAAAATATCACAATGTCGTACGATTTTGAGCGCTTTTTCTGTAGTTATCACTTTGAATTGTGCTCAAAATTTCAATTCGTTTAGATTTTGAAAACTAATAAAAATATATTTTTTTNNNTTTTTTTGTATATATGTAATTATGTATATTATATATATATATAAACCGGGAAGAAGTTTTGCGCGCTTCCGCTCAGTTTCGTGTTTTCTTAAGACTATTACAACTAGAATCACATATAAATGTATGACCGAATACATTGCGAGGTCATGCATATATTGTGACGTTATATAATTTTTATATTCCATCGAAAAATACGCGTGGATCGAGCGGTGCGGGATTTCAATAAAAATAAAATCCGCGCACCGCTGATACCTACTGAAGACATTTATTTAAACCTAATATACTTGAGTTTTATTTCCACTTTGTTGCTATGTTCAGTCTTCAAAGGCACACGGTATCGAGCTATCTAACTATAGTAGCAGCTCGCTCCTTGTCGCGCTCAACTTCCAAGGGATGCATCCTCTTGCGGTGAGAGAAGCAATTCCCCGAGCTGGCGAAGGCCTTAGGACAATACGGGCACTTGTATGGCCTGGCGCCCGTGTGTTGATTTATGTGAAACTGTAAGGTGGTGTAGATTTATGTGATGCCTGGGTAGGCTAAATTACGTTACCTTCAAATCTTGGTTCCTTTTGAAGGTCTTGTCGCAGAGTGGACATTTGTGCGGTCTTAGATTGCTGTGGGTAATCGAGTGAGCACGAAGGGTGCTTTTGGTCGGATACACCCTTCTGCAGACGTTGCAGGTGAACTGGACTCCTGTATGGTACTCTTTGTGACGGAGCAAGTTACTTTGTGTCTTGAAACTAGGAAGTTGCTAATTAGCTTTCATGATCCTCTAATAAATTGTTATGTTAACCATTTACCTGCGTCCGCAAATGTCACAGTCATATTTTCCTTTGGGTCTGTGTGTATCCAGGTGAATCTTGAGGTTACCTCTACTGGAGATCAGTTTGCCGCATACGGGGCAAACGTATCTTACCACATCGTGGACATAATCATCGCCCATGTCATATTTACGCGGTGTAATTGATGGTGTGGGGACGATGGGTTTCTTGTGAACCACTGGTGGGGTCTGTGTCTCTGGCTTAGTGTTTTGACACCAGGTGTGGTTAAGCAGCGAGCGGTCCGTGTGAAATATCCTCGAGCACAGAGAGCAGGTGAATTCCGCTTCGAAGGTGCGCCCGCTTTCCATGAATTCTTTTAGATTGTAGAAGCGTTCTTCCTCCTCGATCTCTGCGGATTGCTCTGAGAGGTTCGAATCCTGCGACTGTTGCGATTGCTCATCCTCTGAATACTGAAGGAAGAGCATCGGATCGACCTTCACCTCCATCTCTTCCGTCTCTTCCTGCTTAATTTGAATTCCCTGCGACAATATTTAACACACAATCACGCAAAAGTACAAATCTCGCATTTGTGCAAATTTAAATATTTGTAAGGTTGTTCTATACCTTTGTTAGATATGTATGGAGTAGTCCTCTGTTATCAATGCTCATTGGTTCAGATTTTGGTATTTGACTTGTAACAAGTTGGGAGCGCTGTGGGTTGGCGCGCTTCTCCATGGCTCGAGAAATTCTTAACTCCTCTACCTTCTTCAGACAGCTCATGCAAACGTATTTCAGACGATTGTCTCTACCTTTTGCCTTCGTATGGGAAGAAAGTAGAAAATAGTTTACTTTTTTTACTACCAGTGCTTACCGATAATGTGTATCTCTTCACCCTTCCCTCAAGGGCAGCACGCTGTCCTTCCGGACTAAAAACAGAGAAGTCACGTTGGAACTTGATATTAAAGACGCGACAGGTTATATGGGAAATCAATTTATCCGTTAAATTTAAAGACATTTTGCGGGGAACCTTTTGTAGATGAGGTGCGATCGCAGCAGCGAAAGGACACCGATCACACCGATTGTTCAGGTCTTGATCGTCTCCTCGCCGTTCTAGTAAAACGACTATGCGCTAATAATGAGAACTGCGCACTCAGGAATTGTATAAATAGTATATATTCGAATTGCGTGAGTTTTTGAAATACTAATTCATGCATCGACAAGTAGGAAACCGACAAACATTCGGAAAACATCTATAAATCATATACTTTTTCAAAGTCTTCATCACCGGAGAAGTCCAAAGATTCTTAAAACATCTGTATCTAATTTCAGGCTGCAACTGACCAAGATTTTTGACACCTTTCTTGATTGAAATTTACCGGAGCACGTGTGTCTCGATTCCCGCCATCAGTCAGCGCAGACCTCGGTACACGCCCAGTAGACAAGGATAGGTCGTGAAAAATCAATAAGTTGCACCACGCATTTTCACCCCCGCAAATGCATCACCATCCTAACGCTATCCCACAGGAATCACAGCAAAAATCAAATATCATAGAGTTTTCTTAATATCTATATTAATATACAAATGTAATACATAATAAAAGTACAATGAAAAAAATAATACATCTATCACAATAACCGATAATGAATAAATATTTGGCCACAGAGAAATGATTGCTACTATTACGGATGTTCAATGATCTGGTAAAATGGTTTGGACGAGGTCGGCGCAAGATTTCGCTTTGGTCGACCTGCAAAAGACTTCTTTTAGGAGTCGAGTTCATCAACATTCGGAGTAACGCTTACAACGATTTCGATTTGATCCTTCTGGATAAGTGAAGAGCTATGGGTCCGCTTTTTATCGACTTGAAGAGCGCCACTGCTTCCGCATGAGAGATGTCGTGACATATCTGACCATTTACAGCTAATATCTCATCACCTAAAACAAAAAAAAAGAACAACCATCAATGAATGAAACAAATCACCTTATAATTGTTAATATTTTAATAGGTGGAAGCTGCGAGAAGAAGAATAAGAATAAACGTAGTGCAATTACCAGCACGCAATCTTCCGTCTTCGGCTGCTTGGCCGTTGGGCGAAATCGTTTTCACGAAAATACCCAAAGCGCCTTTAGGTGAATCCCGTCCTCCGACAATGGTGAAGCCGAGCGATTTCTTGCCAGGTCCCTTTTGCAAAATGACCGTGTGAAATGTAGACACAGTCGACCTGGGTCTGCGGGGCAAGGTGCAGAAGTTCGTCAGATCTTCCAGTTTATCGCTCTGCGGGTTGTAAATTTGCAATTTATTGTCTAGCTCCGACTGGAGGAATGGAGATTCGATGATCTTTGGAGATCCAACTACGCGTCTGAGGATCTTGTTATTGCTGCTATGACTGGTGCTGTTCTTGATGAAGCAATGCTGCCGTTGCGTAGGACTACTGTTGTTTGGTTTTGACAGCTCGTGATCAACACTGCTCTCTTGCATGGATTTCAACTCAATGGTTGAAACACGAGAGACCACGAGATCAACTTGAAGCGTTCGCGTACTTAAAGATTTTCTTGCCTCCTCGGATGTTAAGCCTTGCAAAGCTCTTCCGTTTACAATTACTATTTCATCTCCAATTGATAAATTGTATCTGAAAACAATCATTGGAATATTATTTTATATGACTGATGTATTAGATATTACCTTTGGGCTAGAGTTCCTGGGACTATGTATGCAATAACATAGCCTTCACTCAAACACTTTCGAGATATAAATATACCAAGTTCCTCTGTCAAATTGTGTTTGTTAAGTGTCACTGTGAAGACATCAGTTTTCTTTGGGAAGACGTGTGGTGAATCCAGGAACGCTTGTTTTTTAGCTGCTTCCTGTCGATCCAAAGAGAAAGCTCTCTGAGGATTGCGTTTTTTCGATTCAGGATATTCGGGCAGTGAGGAAGTGAAGCTGTCGGTTTCGAGCACCGAGGAACACGTATCGGTTAGTAAAATTCCACTATCAGAATCTTCCTCCATTAAAAGAGCATGATCATCTTCATCGTCCAATAGATGTGTATCTTGGAACATTGGGTTATGTTTCTTCTGGAACTCCTCGAGACCAGGCAACGCTCCATACGAGAAACTCCTTAGCTTCGCTCTTGCGATTTTGCACGTGGTTTTGTTAGGTGTTGATTCCGCAATTGGATTCGGCTCGTGTGATTTGTACAACTTTGCGAGAAATCTGTTCGTTGAAGATTGCAGGTACCTTTCGGATATAGCGCGCAATTTTGATGTGAGACAGGACATCCGGGGAACGGTTTCACAGGGATTCGAGGCGACAGCAGGACTAGAATTCGTTGATGTAGATGGAACGTCGATCCGGGAAATCGTCGACGGAGATCTGAAACAGGATAGCCTCGTGTGTCTGACGCGATCCAGCAACGGGTTCCGCTTTTCGCGGAGGTGTCCATTTGAGCAAGGTACAGTCCTGGGCTGCGATTTGTGCCTTCTGCGATCCGATTTATCCGTAATGATTAGACTTTCCTCGACATTATAGAAATTCGTTCCGCGTTTCTGACGCACGCTCGGACTCATATCTGCATGTATGCCAAGAACAAAAAAATATTATGAAGTTATTGCTTCATTTGGATTATTGCCAAAGGCAAGGTGAAACTTATATAACGTTGTTACGTACCGATCCTGGAGCGATGTTTGGAGGATTTTGGTGTCTCTAGAAGAGTCGTCTCGGAGCGGGCGTTCTCCGCGCGTAGAGGCGAAAGACTCAGGAGCCTAGGCTGATCCCCTTGCTTGCGAAACCAGCGCATTATCTGAAGAAGACAAAGTATGAATTGATTTAGTTATGTCTATTTTTGACGTTGCTGTTGGAGTTATTGTTTTCTTCTCGTTTTTAAAGAGTGCAGGTATTAATCTGTAAATTCATGCCGGAATGCCGGAGTCTTGGCTAAATTAGGAAGGACACTTCGAAAACACAGTACGCACTAATGAGGGCCCTAATTGAAGCTCTGTCCCAAAGTAAAATAGAAACTCGTTTCAATCATATCTCTCCACTCGATATTCGCTCCTTCCCGTCTGATCGTCGCTTATACTTTTTTTTCTCTCTTTCCATTGGTCATCGAGGGTTCGCATTAAATAAATAGTTTATGCGTCAAGCACCAATTAACCGAACTCCTCTATTTTGCGTTACAACTATATTTTACAACCGTGACATTTTCCGGTTACTGATTTTATGTCTATTTTACTTATGGCCATCTCGTCGCTAATTGCGCATCCGACTGCATGCAATTTTTCCGGGCGATCGACCAAACCAAACAAAACCTACCTCCATGGCACTCGCATGGTTCGTAAGAAGTACATATATCGTTATATAGTATTTCTGAAAGACACTCAGGTATGTGCGGATTGCAGAAATGATGGCGGACAGCTCGCATTCAAGGCCGCTATAATTTCTGAATTCATAGAACGCAAGAACCTGTCCAACACTAATATCTAAGCAGATATGAAATAGCCATATTTTTCTTTTCTTTTTTTTTATCCCTCTTCAGTTTTCCAAGAGACGCACATGGATTGCTCGCATTGTCAGCACATTTTGCACATCAAGACAGTGACATCCGTAATTAACAGATTACAAGCGTATCTAATACATATTACAATCAACAGAAATTACATTCATCCAAGCTCAAGTAATCCAATTATCCTTAATTAATTAAATGTGTTTAGAGTTGCGTTAAATCTGTCCCAAACAAACATCTATGTATATTTTGAGAATACTTCATTATTTTAATTATAAACGGAAATTAAGAACACGTGAAACTGTTCCATTTAATGTCGATCTCATTTAGTCAATAAAGTTTGTGGACGGATGAAAAGGCGACATTGGTCCCACTTCAATGAACGAATTAATTTCACAAAAGAATACAGTTCTTATTATACAATACGGTCGTAGCTTCAATTTGATTGTCCAATAACAGCGCATTACGAGCAATTTAAGAATCTCTCTCATTGTCAATTCTAACAATCTGTAAAATTATTGTACTTAATTCTTTACTACTATGTACAAATATGTCATATTCTGTAAATAATCAACATTGTTTTATTTAACGGGCAAATCATTGGAGGGTAGCTGATGAGACGGCGCTGGTACCACTTGAAGGAACGAGCGAATACCAATGAACAGTTATGCAATTATTTGAGTGCTAATAACAACAATTTCTCCGATGAAAACTAATTAACTATTAATTCGCTTAATAACCATCAAGTGATATTATGTGAACGGCGCATTCCATGAAAATCCATAAATAGAAATGATAGCCCTAGACAACAACAATATTTATCGAATCAAAAATAAATAACAAACAAAAGCAAAATGAAAATATTTGAAATGAAATACGTACATTCCATACACAAAGCAGAGTTAATTATTTAATCTGCACTTTAATAACAATAATAATTAGCAGTAAAACGCAATTAACGGTTTCGCTGAAATCGCGCGGATTATATGCTTGGAAAAGTCGCATTCTTTACTTGCACTTGCACAGAACCTTCGAAAATGTTGATTTATTAATACTCAGGTGCGAACTACGGTTTATTAAATAAAACTGACGGGAGTTTTCTCTATCATTTTTACCTTGATGTATGTATATAAGTTCGAAAAGAAATGTATGTTTGAATATACAACTTTTCCCTTTTGCTCGCTTAACTCGAATGACTAAGCAACCGCATTCCTGATGATTCAATCGGATTAATTGCAGAAGGACCGTTCTTCTTCTGGGAATCGGAATGCTGGAAACACTTATCCCGAATGAAAGTTATTTGGCTAATAAATATCGACGAGCGCTGCTCACTTTCTTCTTCTTCTTCTCCCAAAGGAAACAAAGGCGTGCTCCGTCTTTGATTATCTTCGATGCGGTATTCGGTGAAAGTGGTCAAAGGTCAAAGACGCGCATTGTGCTCTAATCTAATGGGCAGCCGGGAGCGACGTGGACGTTCGTTCTTTTGGCGAAGCAGCGTTTCAAGTTACCATCCTCGGATTTGCGATGCGAAAAGTAATTGCATTTTTATGCAGCCGTCCGATGCGATTTTATTACGGACTAACCGCTGCTCGTACTTCCTAGTTCACGAAGATTATGATTAGACCGCAATAGTCTAGGATGAAAAGATTCATCTTGCAGTAAATGTAGTAATATTGTTACTGTATTCATGGTATCAATTAACTGAATACATCCAGAATCACGATCTTATTATTTTTGTTTCAGTTCATGTAATTATTTATTTATAATTTAAGCACAAATCTCAATATCTACTTTTAATATCCTTTCATTTAAATCTATCGCTAAATGGACATTAAATATAAATTAGTTGACGGGATAAGGATATATATATATATAATTACATAACGGTTAGGTTCATGAGTGTCTACTTATTTTGTAGTTGAAGGAAATTACGTCTCCAAGAAATCGTTTTTGTTAAAATATTAGTATATTTTTCGATAATTACAAATCGCTATTAAAACCGAGACTATTGGGAAAATAATGAGTATACTTTGTATGAAGGTTTGAGTATAAGTAAAGCAAAAAAACTCGGTGTTTCACACGCCCGGTCAGCCCGGTTTGCAGCGCATAATTGAATCGTGGAAATTGAATAAGGACCGTTTAAGCCAGGTTCCACTGTATATTCAAAATATATTAAATATAAATATAAAAAAAAGTACACATATTATGAAAATGATGTAGCAATGATCTACAATTAATTTTGCACGTTAAGCAAAATGTTCGTTAAGGTAATCCCATATTCTTATGTAATTAAGCCATACGGTAAACGCGTACAGGATGCTTGCAATTTTTCATATTTATTTATTTGACGAACATCTAAACATGATCAACAATAAACTAGTATTATTATTTGTCTTTACGTTAAAAGAAAATGTTGTTATATAAATTGAAATAACTTTTAAAAACTTGAAAGTATGTCTATATTTAAGTTTTATCGCTTGGTATCATAAAAAGGCTATTGAAAATAGTGGACCAAATATTTTAGATTACGTAACGCATTTCCTTTCTGGTTGGCGCCATTGGTAATTATCCATCGCAATTAATCCAGCGCCACTCGTTAAGATGGTACCGACGAGTTACGCAATCCGCCCGGCGGCAGAAGAGGACATAAAGAAAAGGACGAACGGACGACCCTTCCCATGCGTTTACGTAACGTCGACTTTAATTGCTGATTGCCCGCTGTACTTTTCCTCCATTCCGAAGAGGTTTTCGTACTTCCACGAACCACAGTGTATAGGAGACCCGCATGATTTATGGCAGAAGTTATCTTGAACGTGTTGAATGGCCATTGTCGGGTGGCAATTTCATAGCCTAGATATCCTCGATAGACGTTTTACCGTTCGAAGATTAATTTGCGCGCAATCGACGCGAAAATCGTCTCGCTCAACTAAATTGTTGACCCAAAATATTCTTATATTCCAAATGCATCTATAATCAGGGCCGCGTGGTGCAAAGAGGAATTCACATTTTAGTAATTTAATAGTAATTTAGTAATATAATAGGTTGAATGGATCCGAAAAGTGCATATGAAAGTTGGATGTTTTGGGAATGTAACGAGTATTCATATATTGCTGTGTTTTCATCAATTTGGCTGTAATTAGCGTTCAAATTTGAAATAATTAACACTCAAAAAATAGTGTGATAAAAAAAATAAGGGGTGGCATTTCGAAGACTTGCATCATACTGTGAAAATCTACCACACGGCCCTGTGCATTATATAATGAAAAACGACATCCTTTGCATAATCCGAAAGTGATGCAAATCCGCTCACTGCGGCGATTTTCGACAGCCTATTTATATAAGACTTTATGATAACTTATGTAACTCGCGTTTTTTTTTATGATTCTACCTTCTTTCGAGTTTTCCCCCGGGGCTTCGGCACGCCGCGGTTGGTAGTATTGCGCGGAGTTATTTGAAATATGCAATGCTCGCGACCTTGAAACCGGATTACTGCGCTCCAGAGTGGAGGTGAGCGACGTCCTTGACCTTTTTTAAAGTAAGAAAAAAGGACGAAGGAATAATGAACGAACGAGACAAAAAAAAAGAGAGAACTAAATTGTATGAACGGACGAGAGGAGGAAACGAAACAAAGACGTGAGACGAAGAGAAAATAAGAAAATTGGATTAAGAATATATATATATATATATAGTATATATACATAAATGGTTGTGGCTCATCCCAGGTGAGAATCCTGCATGACTCACGCTTCATTCATTTTGTCGGAATCGTTATTTTTTATGGGACTTTCAAACTCAGTCATTAAACGAAAGCAAAAGCAAATACTGTGACAATGGGTATATCCTGAGCCGCCT